AATAGAACCCTTCGGAGATGTTGACGCAACAAACATGAACATTTTGCTGACGAGAAAACAATGTTTTGGACTACACAGGGTCCATCGCGTGCCGGTGGTCCACGGCTTCCTTTCCACAGTCCGCAAGAGATTAAACCATGATGCAAGTCATGATGCACTAGTGTCCGGTTACTAGAGTCAATGAATTATTTGGCTAAACTGACGCCATTTCAGGCTTGACTGGCCTGCTTGCTGACACTTGTGGTGGTGCAGCATGTTCGGGCGACTTATGCGCTGATCAAATTGAATTTGTTGGTGTTATAAATATACGTATATATATATATATATTCTAGCCCCCCCCAAAAAATAAACACATGCTTTACACATGCTTTTAATTTAGCTCGAAGTTAGTTCGATTTAGTTTTATGTTAATTGAACTTTAGTTTTGCTTATATTTCAATTTATGTGTAATTAATCAATGCAAAGTTAATGCTAATTAATTTGTACTTCTTTTCAATGTAGTTTCTATATCTAATATAACTCTCTTATTTGTCCAATCCAGTTTTGGCTTTATGCAATTCTAACTTGCTAATCAAAATAGAATTATACTAGAAATGTAAACATAAAATTGAGTTGTAAACTAAATTTGAATTAAGATTTAACTAGCTGAAACTAAAAATTAATTACAAACAACTCAAATGCAAACCAAACTAAATTTGAATTAACATACAACGCAATTAGAACTAACTTCGAGAGAAACTAAAAGCAAAGTAGATTAAATTAGATTTGAATTGGATTTAACTTTAGATTGAATCAAAATTTATTGGTTTGAATTAAAATAGAATTGAAATAGAATTGCTTAACCTGCAGCTCGATTAGAATGCAATTACTGTAATAATGAATCAGAATTGTATTTATTTTAAATAAGATTTAAAGGCAAAATGACATTTACAATAGAACTAAATTAGAGTTGAATTCAAACTGGTTGGAATTGAATTAAACTCAAACTGGAGATTGAAACTTAACTTATATTGGAAATCAATTAGATTTAAATGAATTCAATCAGGTTCAATTTAGAATTTAAAAATACAAACTCATAATATAAATAACTTAAGCAATAACGAAATTGTAATTCAATAGAATTAAATGATATCTAAATGTGTTTTTATTCAATTTCAGTTCAGTTTTGGTTTATCAAAATTAGCTAAACTTGTATTACACATAAAATAGAAATGAATTAGATCTAAATTTGAAGTCAATTGGAACTATCTATGAAAATTTCAAAGAACGTTTGATTATATTGCAATTCAATTGAAAACCAACATCCAATAAACGTATACAGGTTGTGCAAAAGCCCAATTGACCAAAGCACAGACAAAACCAAAAAAAAACGGTGAGGATAATTTTTGGTTCAGGCTCAAAAGATTGTATTTGTTGGTTTTCTTTGTGTTGTTTGTTTTGAAATCGAAAAAGACTTGTGTTGTTTGTTTGTTGAAGGTTTAGTGCACTAGGAGACTACCAAAAGCAAAAACAAGATAGATTTGTTTTTTTTGTTGTATTTGATGTTTGGTTATACTCATAGCAAATCATCGAAAAACAAAAAGCCTTGTTTTTACTGGTTTTTGGTAGTCTTCAACCATAAACTTTCAAAGCAACAGAAAACACAATGTGTTTTTTGTTTTTTTGATTTCAAAACAAAAAACAAGGAAAACCAAAAAGAACAACATATTTTGAGGCTGAGCCCAAATTTATCCTCAAAGTGTTGTTTTTTTTTTTGTGTGTTTTTGTTTTGGTTTGTTATGTTGTTGCTGTTTGTCATTGGGGATATTTTTGTTTATGGGTGTCCTTTCATTTGTTTGTGTTTTATTCATTGTGAAGTACCTTATTTGTTGTTAGTTTTTTTAATACAAACATATCCCGAAAACACTGCAAAATACCAGTAAAATGCATGAAAGGGTGTTTTTTTTTGGGGGGGGTACCATATACTTCCTATGTCCTATGTGTCTCATGGGTAATTTGTTCAAAGGTTTGTCAATGTAAGAATGTGTTGGTTACCTTTGCATGATGGACGTAGAACACTCAATGGCTTCTTCTCAAATTAAAGGTCTGTCAACGAGTATGTTCCACCATGCCAGATGACTGCACTTGGACGCGATATGTTCAACTCTTGGTCCGCACTGCCAGGCTCAAGAGGTCCCAGGGCCATTGTGGGCGAAACTACTGCAAAAGGCTGCGGCAATCGCCTCTCGGCTGAGTGGCAAATGGCAGGGTTGGCAATGACATGCGTCCATGCAGCCTGCCACACACAGCCTCCCGCATCCTGCTTTGTTTTCATTATTTTGCGATCAAACAAGTGGGGTGGGCAGGGGCCCAAGCCTTTTGCAGACTCCATTTTTTTGCGCAAGCAGGCATACACATACTTGTGATAACGGGTTTAGGCCCACTCCTGCAAAAAAATTATATACATATATAAATACATCGTTATGCAGAATTTTATACCCAGTCCATGGTCAGTTACCCTCCCTCAATGTGAGGTAGAGCTGACTCTTCTTGTCCACCACCCCTTACCAGCATGCGTTCCCCTTGTCATTGTGCGAACCTGCGTGTTTGACCACCATCCCAAACTGGCGGGCCCATCCTTCTTCACGGATTGGGAGGGGTGTTGGTTCACAAACAAACTCAACCCATGAGACACCTTCAATGCGTCTCAGTAATCTAAATGTACAGTAATTATAATTATTAAGATGTATGAAGTGTTTTATTGAAGTAGATGAACCCCGACAAACGTGCAATTGGGGCCTTTGATGAGCTTTGTTTGCTTTGCATGCTAGCTTGTTTGTTCCCATGTAGTTGGAGTTTTAGGGTCGCGTTTGGTCAGCTGCAGGTCCTGGGTTTAGCCGTATTCCAGCCATCCAAGTCATGAAACACTTAAACACCGTTTGTTGTCATCAATGGCAATGTTTCATAGAGTACAGAGTACACTTCGACAGTCTCAGCTACTTACACGAAAAGAACTGTTATCCATCGGAACGGGGACCCACAGTAGAAGATTGGTCTCCGATGTTCTATGGCCTGTCGAGTGTACCTGATTTCGGGTAGTACTGTTTCACTTTAGAAGTGTGATAATATGTTAATATACCCAATAGTTCCGGCAAGGTTCCAAGTAAACCCAAATATTGTGGCGGTAAATAGACGGGGATGGTGCTTTCACCATGGTGAACATCTAGCGACCATAGGAGACCAATCTGTTGATATCCCCGTTCATCCTAAACCAACATGGCCAAGTCTTCTTCAAATCAGTTTATTGAAGAAAACGTCTTCTTTCTGCGTCTCTTCACGGTCCAACCGTTTTTGCTTTGAGCCGTGGCGTTGATGGTTTGTTTCGCCAGCGTTTTTCTGTCGCCGGTGCAGGTGACGCCCAGCTTGCGGGAGCTACCCCCAGCGGAGTTGATCCGTTTGGCCCTAGCGGCCAAGAGCCATGCAGCTCAGGGTCAGGAGCCAAACAGACGACGAAGCAAGGGGGCAACATGCGAAAAGAACACGGGGATAACTAAGCAAACCGTAGGCTGATAAGATGTTGTAGTTCTCGGTGTAGTGAGATCTTCAGTGAATCTCCAAAACATTCCAAAACGATTGAGAGTTAGACATGAGTACATGTCTTGACATTACATGTTTTGTTGATTCTTATTTGTCGTTTTGAGTTTTGACTGTATGCTTTTAGATTTGGATTCTATGATGGCACCCAGCTGCCAGGAGCTTCTGGAGGCTGTGGCCACCGCGGCCATCCAGCGGCTGGGGGAGTTGCCACAGGCGGTCACAGATGGGGCTGTGGGTTTGCTTAGAAGACTTTGGAAGACTTGGGATACCTCTTCTAACGTAGCACCACTTAGAAGTCACTTGAATCGCAAAATAATGACGGTGATGGTGTTCTAAGGACGTGTATGTTTCTTTTCCTCCATATGGGAATAGGTCTCCCACTGCACAAACAGTGTATGGAAAGTATTGTGTCGTTTTGTTCAACCAGTTTGTGTTTCACAAACTGTTCACATAAATAAGCATGCGAAACGGCGTTGTGTTTTCTTTGTTGTTTCACCAGACTGTCACGAACCTGCTAGCTAGCGTCCTCATCCTTGAACGAGCGCTGAATGAACCTTTGAACGACAAGGGATCCCGCAAACCCCGGAAATGTTGCAACCTGAGTCTTTGCATTCCGAGCCCGGAAATGTTTGACGAATGTGTTCATCATCCGCTTCACAAAAGTCTGATCTAATCTAAGAGCTGAGCGTCAAAGAGCTGAACCTGAGACTTGAGATCAAGTTGGGTCAACTTGGCTGAACCAAGAGGTCGTCAACATTGAAGTTGAGCTGAAGAAGGAGTATCGAGTTGACAAGCCGAACAACTTTATTCAACTTATATATCCAACTTCAAGAACTTTGTTCAGCTTAGTTCAACTCCAAGTTCTCTCCACTTATACGCCAAACGCCGCAGATCCTGGGCGGCCAACCAGTGCCCCTTAAAACCAAAGTCTGGGAGTCATACCGACCGACATAGAGAAGACAGCTACGTTAATTACTGTAGCATCCAGTCGAGTAAATATATGCAGCATGCATTTTGTAAAAAAATGGGTTCACTGTTTTTGTTGTGATTAGCTTCCAGCCTGTAGCTACCTGCTCCCTGCCGCGGTCCGCACGGTCTCAAAGAAAAGAAGAACACACCATCCGCTGTTCGGGGCAGGCGCACTTGCTACTGATGACCCAAGGTCTTATTGCCTTGGGAGGATGCGGAGAGGGATCACGGGAGTGGAAACGGGGGCGGGAGCGGGGGTGTCGCGGTTGAGAAGCTGCAACCCTTCAGTAACATGGAAACCAAACGAATCATGGAAAAAGATATTCCAGAGAGTCCATGTCTTCACTGATGGCCTTCAAGCTGTCGGTTGCATGTGTACCATTTCTTTGCGAAGCATCACAATCGATATAATTTCATATCTTTTTGGATCATTTTTTCGCCAGATTTTCGGCGCAATGGCGGAGCGAGTATCTTCCGTGTCGGCAACAACCACCGTGCCGCGCAGTCTTTTTATTGAAGAGAGACTTGTCGACATATATAAAAGGCTGCCAATGAAAGGACGGAATGCGGAAAGACATGGACATCCACGCCTCAGGATGAATGCAGAGTTTTGTGTTTTTTGTTGTGGGCCCATCCGGTTGTTGAATTAGACCCCGGAAATAGATAGTACCCATAATATGTAGTTTTTCTAGCCTACGGCCTACGGATCAAAATGTTGCCTCACAAACTGCGTGGTCGGCTTTTTGATGCGTTTTTGAGAGCCTTCCTTCGTCACATGTCCACCTCACACGCCCTGACCTGGAACATAGTGTATTCGTTTGGTCCTATTGCCTTGAACTGGAAATGAACTTCACATGGTTGCGAACTCCCCACCCTGAAAAGAGCAAGAGACTAGCTTGTGGGATGTGGATGGAGTCACCATGGGTTTCATAGCTACAAGCAACAAATGCATCGCTACTAGTAACAAGGGCATTACGATATTCTATGGATCTATGGAGTCACCGGGAGCCCGGTGCCCCCCCAATTCAGTTGGTCGGCTGCGCAGCTTCGAAATTCTTCGGCATGCCACTTCGGAGTTCGTTCGCTCCGGACATGCGCCTTGGGATGTTCCTGCGGTTTGGGAGCGCCTTGGGGCGTAGTAACAGGAGTCTGAGTCTTAATGGGATCTTCTCCCAACAAGGTCAACGGACGACGTTATTCTACTCTGTTCCTTTATTGAGCAGTGTTTGTCAAACGCTTGTCCAGCACTATTACACTGTAACCCTTCATTCATTGGCTTACCTGAATATTGATAATAACCACCCAAATAATTTGAAGTCAACCCCACCAAAATGTTAACCCTGTCTTGTTGGTGTGCCGGGGAATGCCTGCGCCATGCGACACCTCCCCCATGCCATGGTGCATTGCGCCCCCTCAAGGAACTACACCATCGTCAAGAAGCTGGGCAAAGGGCAGTTCGGAGAGGTGAAGGAAGTCTTGAAGACTGGGACCCAGTCACTTGGTAAAGACAAACTAGTAGAAAGGACGCTATTAGGAGGCCATTGCTATTAGGTTGGATGCCATCGCTACTAGTAGCTAGAAGCTACTGTTTGTCCGATCATTCAGGTGATGTCCGGTGTCCGGTCGTTTGAAGCTGTCAACCGATGTCGATCTGTGCGCCTTGCTGTCTACAAAAACCAATGTCGAAGGTCGGCTTCAGAATGCGTCGGTTCGTTCGATGGCACCGGGTCTGAGACCACCGACCTTTGGGGATTGTGCCATCGCCATTGGATTCAGGTTCAATCGGTTGCCGCGAAAGAACGGCGATGAGAGATACTTCTTTTTGGGTGATCTAACTGGGAGACTGGATCCACTGGGAGCCTATTGAATGCATCGTGTGTCATCGACCGAATTGGAGGGACTGGCCATCGATCGTCACAATTGGGAGGGCCTGAAACGGAGCAGACGCATCGAGCGGGCTGGCATGTGTTCTTTGATGCGGCTGTCAGTCTAAAGAAGCACACAAGGATGGTGAACATGTCCAGCTACCATATGTACTGTATATCGATGTATAGTTGTTCAATGTAGGTTTGGGATGCTCACGACGGATGTCATTGAGAATCGGAATCTTATGGTTGTGTTGGTTTTCTGCTCGACTTGAGGCAGCGGTTTGCATGGAAGCAAGTCACATCGGAGCAGGATCCATACTACGAAGTTGAAGCTCAAATACTTCGAGACCTGCATCATGATGGCATTGTGAGCATCGTTGAAGCCTACTCCCAAGACGGCGTCGTAGACATGGTGCTAGAGCTGTGCCAAAAGAGCTTGCAGTTCGATATGGACTCGCGATTGGAACCTGCTCCAATGACTGGCAAAAAGCAATACATGCGCCCTCGATCGTGCGACATTGCTTCGACCATGGAGCAACTCTTAGCAGCGGTGTACTTTCTTCATGAGAACGGGGTGTCGCACCGTGACATCAAGCCTGACAACGTCCTCATGTCAGTGGGTGACTTGGCGATGGAGCATACAAAGGGACACCAGACGTGCCAAGCAGGGTCGCTTCGAAGGTGATCTAGAAGTTTGTTTAACACTAGCCGCTAGCCCGCTAGCTTACAACGGCACAAAGATGCACAGAGTAAAGTGGAAGGGGACAATGACATCAACAACCAGCATCTAATGTGTACTCTGGACAACCTTAAGCACAACCACCATAATGTGTTCAACAAGTTATTATTTCAACATTATTCAACAAATTAATACATATTGATATGATGATATACGATTTATATGTTTACATATGTTTATATTATGAAATCAGTAAACAAAACGCACACATCTTACATGAGGTGATGGTAGTGGTGATGGTTACATATCCCCCTTCTCGGGTCTATCCCCCCACACGTATACCCAGCGACCGGGACCGGTCGAAAGATGGAAGTAACGAAGCCAAATCACACAGGATCCACTTCCAAAACGGTTGGTGTTTGGAGCTCAAGACGGATTGCACAGTTCTTTAGACTCTAGACATGAGATGTCCATGCTTTCAATTTTATCCTTCAGCGTCCTTGTTACTAGTAGCGATGCCAGGAGCCCCTAGTAGCGTCCTTGCTCCTAGTAGCGATGCCCTTTGCTCCTAGTAGCTTATCGTTACTGTATTTGCATGATTACACATTGTTACATGTTTTAAATCTGGTATATGGATGTTAGTTGTGTTTCATGGTTTTGCTTTGATGAATGGATTGCAGTGCAGCAGCAATTCTCCAAGCCAATTCCATTGCAAAGATAAATCAACATGTTTGTTCGATGCTGCCTGAGACTGTGCCGGAAAGGCGGCACGTGGAAGCTGGCCGACTTCGGTTTGGCGACCCGGTTCAACCGCGGAAGCTACATGACCGGAGAGGTCGGCACCCAACCCTTCATGGCCCCGGAAGTGGAGCAAAGGCACTACACCGAGAAGTGCGACATCTACAGCCGATTGCCGGCCATTGGTGGGACGGAATCCTGTTTTTTTGGGGGAGGGCATCCAGGAACTTCTTATTAGGAACCTATGGTGTATATAGATCCAGTTTCTAGTTTGGGTTTGAACGGTTGTTTTCTGCAGCGGATACCAGCTCGGGCGAAGATCGACCATCACGGTCGCTTCCAATACTGCCAGAATGAACATTAACAAGGTTTTAAACGTGTCAAAACATATCCAAGAAAGTCCAAGTTCATTCAGTATACAGTATACTTCTTGGCTATCCAACTGAATCCGAATGAAAGGTAAATGGTGCAAAAAGACCATCGCTGGTGATGACTAACGGTGTTCCACTGTTCTGCTTGCCGTTTCTCCCATGGTTTCCCTGCGATAGTGAACAGCACTTGGCAAAGCACTCGGGTCACTTAGGGATGTCACTGGGTTGCATAAGTTGAACAAATAGATAGAACTTGGACGTCCAGCAGCCACAAGGAGGCCAGATGAGGCCAGGTTTTTTTGTTTAACCATCAAATGAATTCAAATGTGTTTCAACCGAACAACGAAGCTTCGCTCCTTTAGGCATGGGAGTTCTCTTTATCGCCTTGACGATCGGGAAACAGTGGTGGCGGCCAGAGAGTGACTCGGCGCCGCAATGATCATGTAGATAGTTGATGCTATTTTAAGACGCGATATGAAGAGGTTTTACAATCCAAATGGGCGGGGTGATTGATCAACAGTTTTGACACCTCACCTCTCTAAAATGCGGAAGACCATGTGGCAGCTTGAAATTGATGACCTAGCAGGTTGTATGAAGTCCAATTGCTTTAGGACCCAACAGGCAGCTTAAAAGCTAGATGCCTTGCTTTACAAGCTGTTTGCATTTGCTAGGCCTCCATCCAGCAGACCCTCGATACGTTGCAGGTATTGACGGGGTCCCAAAGTCGTATGAAACATCCCAAAGCTACAGACTGAGGTCTGGAAGACGACGAGGCCAAAGAGCAGGCCAAGCAGATCTTGACGCTAAAGACCTGGAAGGAACAAGAGTTTCTTGGTGTCCATTTCAAGTGGATGAACATTTGACGATCTGTTGAAAGAGATCGAAACATCTCGGAAATGGTCTTGCAAGGTCTCACAAATTACTTTAGCAAGAAACTTCCCACTCTTAAGAAGTCAGACGAAGAGTTTTCGGGGCGACCGTATCTCCAAGATCTTACTGATGCCCGTTTTCCGGAAACGCAGCTGTGGCTGCATAGTGTCACTATCACTATACTACAATACACATATATATATATATACACACTTACACAACTAGAAGTGACACCATGCCTGAATGCTCCATGGATGGGTCCGTCTATATAAACGGTGAGTCCAAAGTTGGCAACCATACAATTTATGTTCAACTTTATGACACATATGTTTGTTAGATTGGTTATAGAATACAGTATGTACATATATATATATACATCACAATGGTTTAAATATGTACTCGGCTTCAGATGTAAGAGTGCTTTCATTGAGAACTTCCATCGATTCATGACGGCTTGCGAGCCGCGGTTCGCTCGGCTGAAAACCGAGGCTCAGCGCTGGCGCTTTGGAGTTTGCCAAGCGGATGGTGTCTTCGGAAAGTGAGCGCGGCAGTGCAGAAGACGCCCTGAAGAATCCATGGTTGCAAAAATTATCCTCGCAAGCAGGCTGTTGTGTAATCAATTAGACGAATATCTAGAAACATCGACCGTTCCTTCCAGCTTGCAGGTTATTATGTCATCATGATATCAAACAAGAAGGCCTCATTCTCTTTGCACTTGGGAATGCAACTCCAGAAACATTAGATTGCATTTGCCTGGTCGAACTCGACTGGCTCTTTTTCTCGCAATCGTGTCAAACTCGGCATGATCAGTCCTGTTTTGCAATGATTTTCAGCTTTCCAGACTGCCCAGTCCACCCAGGGTCTCCTGAAATCTTTAACACGTGGTGCGTCCTGCACCGCGGGAGATCTGGAAGGGAGGACAGGCACATCTTCACTCGTTTGAAGAAAGCACTGTTTTGTCGGGTGTGTTTGTTTATGTGTTTGCTTTCTTCAAAGGCCCATATGAAAGTTGTTCATATGGCTCATATTCTTCCACCAATCGTCTGAATCTTCGGGATCCTTGCACAAAGACCCGAAGGCGAACAATTGAAGACAAAATGTTGCAGCCGTGAGGCGCCATGCGAAACTCCAGCCCCAAAGATACCCAAGCCCCTCCGGACTCTACAATCTATGCAGTGAGATCCAATTCCTGTATCTCGGAAGTAAGCTCTCCTGAAATAGTTGCTGTCATTCAAAATGGGGATATCCAAGTGGAGGCGTCGCTTTTAACCAAAACCAGGCACCTGGAATAGCAAATTGAAGCTTCCTCGTTTCCCTGTGTAATTTAAGACCTTCGTCAACAGAATGTACCCTTGTTTCTATATATATATATAGTTGATTGCCAAGTACCAGGACCTTCAAATTAATCATGAGGTCACTTAGGCCCGTAAAAGGTCACTTGAGACTCCAAAGAGGTCACTTTGAATGTTATGTACGTACATAAGAATGGATAACTTTTAAGCGTATCCAGTAGAACTTGTTCAAATTCAATGCATCTGTTTGTGCTTATAGCAATGGTGTTTGCACTTTTCAATGAACGCACCAGAACGCACGATATCACTGGACATTATTCCTGACTTCAACGAACGGACCAACTCTTTGCACTCCAACGATGGCCTTCTGACCTTTTGCCTCTGGTTCAAGTTAAATAGGACCTTCTGCCTTTTTCCTTAGAAGTCAACCGATTGCAGTGATTGTCATGGCCTTGGTGGTGGAACCTATGTCTCGCACGTCACAAGCAAGGGCTATGTCACGCAACTCTGAGATTGAAGAGAGACTTGTCCATGTGACGTCGATGCATTCGTTTGTTGAGCAAGCTCTTGCTCACCCGTGGAATGAATATGTAGGACCATCACCGATATGTCATAAGCCTCTTGATTTTGCCAGCAACTTGTTGAATAAGCAATAAGTCCCACTCACGGAACAAGGCTTGCGGACATTTCGCTGGTTCTCCATCTCAGGGTCAGTAGCGGGTCCGATACTCTTTGTATGTAGATTTCACGGCTTTGATACTATATATGGCTCGAACAAATTTTGCCCAACAATATCCTCAGAAGGTTGTTAGACCCCCCAAACCCACCCACCCCAACCACCTTTGAAGCGGAGGTAGTTGGAGCCTTATAGGGTTTAATGAGTCGTTTGCGCATGTATTGTGGACCGATGACCGGTGAACGCATGTTATGGACCGATTCCTCGCACACTCCATGGAGCGGAACTGGAAATTGTGCACATAGGGAATAGAAAACATCACACGGTTTGGCCAAGCAGTACTGTATATATATACATATATACAATATATATATAATACATACATCCTGGGAATGATGTCATCCAAAATCACTCGAAAATCAAAACATTATTCTTTTACATGTCGCGAGCCAGCTCTTCAGAACACTCCAACCTCAACAGGAGGGACCCTCTAAAACACAAACCGACAAATAGGATCAAATGGGACAAGGTTTAGTGGGGGATGCGTGCAAGGTGTTTCTTAGCTCATTTCTTTGGCTTGGTTGGTTTGGTTGGTTTCGGGTCCGCAGCCATCGGTCCGTGTTTGTTTGTTCTGCCTATGTTGACCGGTAAGTGTGCAGTGGCTCCTCATCAACTACGGATGAGGAAAGGATCGAGCAGCAAACAGAGAGTAGCTATATAAAGAGAATGAAAGAGATGTCTTCTAATGCAAGTGCCGGGGATGGCTGTGCCATGCGACACATCCCAACATGGTGCATTGCGTCCAAGGAACTACAATATATAAACGTCAAGAAGCTGGGCGAAGGGCAGTTCGGAGAGGTGAAGGAAGTCTTGAAGAAGGGAACCCGGTCGCCCGGAGACACAGATTGCTTGTGACACACCACACACACTTAAGATGTAAGTACGCTACCAAATATGCCCAGAAGAGGCCTGAGAAAACAGTGCCTGAGCTTATAGAAGCAAGTAAAAACGTCGTGCGCCGGCTCCAAATGAACATCGATACCGAGTCTTTGGCATCGCCAGATGTTCCTGTCAATGCCGAGTGTGAACACCTGCCAAGTCTCTGACTGTCTCTGACTGCAAAGGCTGGTTAGATTCTTCGCGCATCTGTATACGCAGGCATATCATGGCAGAAGCGTCTTCATTGAGCGTCTTCCAGTAAAGGGGATTTCTACAGGGTTTTGACCGTAACTCACTTCATGTGTAGGGTGCTCACCAGGGTTTCAAGGTTTGACCCCTAACTATCAGAGGCGAATACAGAGACCCTCCAGAGTCAGAGTCAGAGTCATGATGTATATTTGCTCTATGTGGGAATTGAGGCAGCGGTTCGCATGGAAGCAAGTCACATCGGAGCAGGATCCATACTACGAAGTTGAAGCTTAAATACTTCGAGACCTGCATCATGATGGCATTGTGAGCATCGTTGAAGCCTACTCCCAAGACGGCGTCGTAGACATGGTGCTAGAGCTGTGCCAAAAGAGCTTGCAGTTCGATATGGACTCGCGATTGGAACCTGCTCCAATGACTGGCAAAAAGCAATACATGCGCCCTCGATCGTGCGACATTGCTTCGACCATGGAGCAACTCTTAGCAGCGGTGTACTTTCTTCATGAGAACGGGGTGTCGCACCGTGACATCAAGCCTGACAACGTCCTCATGTCAGCGAGTGACTTGGCCTGGAATCCGGAGTCGTGGCAATGATGTAAGACACCTTCCTTAGGATAAAACATCACCCACAACAACTATGATTTTTTTTTGTCTTGAAGTGCACCGAGTCTTTTCATGTGGCAAATCTTGTGCATTGAGATGCATTCTCTTGACAAGATGTGTCCTCTATTACTATAGAAGCTTATATATCCGCTTGTAGAGGCCTTCATGAACATGTCCTCAAAATACAGGGACCCAATCGTTCGTCAAACCCTGTTCCTGACAAAATCTGACAAAGAAAAGTCCCTGCCAATAAATGTTTGATTGTTTGCTTCCTTAAACATGCTGTGCTTCACGAGTGTTATATATTTCTTTTGTGAGCGGAGCGCCGCGCCCTATACCACGATAGTCTTCTTTATGCAGCTCAAAGGAAGTACGCCTTCCCCTTTGCAAAACGTATTCCCCTCTAACAGTATTCCCCATATACAAATGTTTCCTTCATATGGCAAGACACCTCCTTTAGAGAAGTGTTCCTTCAGATGAATTTTCTACCGAGTCTATATATACATACATAAGGACCTGTTTCTTGGTGAAGTGCACCTGTTCTATTATTCTTCCCAAATCTGGTTGAAATGTGTCTCTTAACATTATTTTCTATCCATTCCTTTCCCAAGTCCCTTATCAAAAGTACCCTCTACTACTTAGAAGTTGATTTGTTTTGTCAAGCCTTTCTCCTCACGAGCCTTCTCATCTATCACAACAGTCCCATCCTTTATCCATTCTATTCCCTGCAGAAGTCTCTTCTTTGCAAAGACATGTCGTTTCCTTTTTTGAGGTCCTCGCCCTTTGTGAACTTGTCATCTCCACCATAAACCCCCACCTGTGTACAATAGTCTCCTAAACTAAGTGTGCTTCGTAGTTGCTAAGTGGATTGAAACATGTGCACTCACTTGGGAACCACAAACCTCCTAGGAACATGAACCTGAACCAAGCCTTTTTTTGGTATCTCCATAGTGCATTCATATGTCTTACTTCTTAGTGTTGAAATGTTCAAGAATGACCCATCAAACCAAGGTAAAGTGACTCCAATCGGCTTGTCCAGCAACCTTGGTTCTTGGATCCAGCAAACAGCTAGATAGACTATCTAGATATCTCAGCTCATGCCAAGCCGGTCCATGCCGATGTGTGCATATATGAATGTGCATGGTTATTTGTATGTGTATATCTGGGATCCGAACCCTTTGCAAAGAGAGCCTTTGCAAAACATTCAACTGCAATAGCACTGTGAATACCAGCGCAGAATAGCTCGTAGTAGATATTGGAGGGGGGTACCAAAACCATGATACATGCAACAGTATATTATCATATATAAACTATTGGTGGCATTGATATGTACCTGTACATGTGCAAATGCCTATGTTTACGCACAAGGCACAAGGTTTAATTGCCACCACCTCTATGTATATAACTGTTTGTCGATCCTTTTTGTCAGCTTGGAGGACCAGTTCCAATCTAATCTAGAGTTTCGCGGTTCTCCTTCATTCTAGAGTGGCGGAAAGAGTCTGAACACAGAGACTGGTGGGTACAGCTACTCGCAGAGAGGTCGGAGTAGACATGAGTTATGTTATCGTTTCAGGATAGATTACGTGTACCAAAGGCTGAACTAGCACAAAGCAATTTGTTTTTTGGGGACACACCAGGTCTTTTAATCCACGATAACATTTTACATATTACAGTACATGATTTCATGGTTTCGGCGTGGATAAGTGTATTGCAGCAGAAAACCTGTGAGCCAATTCCATTGCAATTGACATGGATGTGTTTCTTGTTCAGATCCCAAGGCGGCACGTGGAAGCTGGCCGACTTCGGTTTGGCGACCCGGTTCAACCGCGGAAGCTACATGACCGGAGAGGTCGGCACCCAACCCTTCATGGCCCCGGAAGTGGAGCAAAGGCACTACACCGAGAAGTGCGACATCTACAGCCGATTGCCGGCCGTTGGTGGGATGGAATCTGACGTCCATCCGTGGTCGTTGTTCGGTAACGGACCCAATCAATGTATATAGGTGTTCGGATGTCAAGTGCTATTTGGAGGTTGATCAGCTATTGTGGTTCAACGTTTTTCAGGGTTGGCTGACTCCAGTGCCTTATATTCAAACCGCACATGTGCATCCAAGGCATCAAAACGGTACTAACTGATGAAAAACATCAGTGGACAGTTGACTCCCCTGGTTTTGTTCGCGCCCGTTTCCTGATATAATCTATTTTTTGGTGTTCATTGTCCTCGGTGAAGAGTGCGGATCCACAAGGATCAGTCATGATTTAGGAACTGAGCCAGTGTGGAGTGCCACCAAGCCAGATGATGGTCACCAGTTTCTGCTCTTGTCCAGTTTGCCATGTGTTTTTGATTGTTTGTTTGTTGTTGATCAGCAAAATAATGCCTATGGACCAAGGTAGTGATGCAATGTATAGTTGAACAAGTAGTATATAGATTGATAAAACATGATAGAATTTGGACGTCCATTAACTTGTTTCAAACGAGCATAAGCTTCATTCCTTCAGGCATGGGAGTTCTCTTTATTGCCTTGGCAACTGGGAAACAATGGTGGCGGCCAGAAAGTGACTTGGCCCTTGACGTGAAGACATCCTGATTGAAGACATCCTAAGCAGCTTGCTCGGAACCACGGTCTGAAGACTGTGCTGGGGAGGTGACCAGTCTTACGACGTGTTGCTGTACAGGATTTCTCCTCTGAAATGCGGTTGGACTTTCAAGCTGCAGATTTCTTGACTGAAGTTTATTTTCCGCATGGGACGCTCGAAGCTAGGGTTCCTCTAAGACTACTGAACCCTCGGATATTCTACAGCCGGTCCAACTCGGTGCTTTGTCCCCGTTGAGGTCTTGAAGACAAAGAGGCCCAAGAAAAGGCCAGGCAGCTTTTGACGCTGAGGACTTGGAAAGACTTGGAGTTTCTGGGCCGAAAAGGAGACACGTCCTCAAACCGACCAAAATGGGTTTACCCATCGAAACGTATCGAACCCATTCGAACCGGTTGTTGGACCCAACAAGAAGAACGAGGGTTCCGATGGTGGCTCCGAAGGGGACTATCTGGTGAATTCGTCACCGAAACGAAGGCTTGATCTGTGGCTGAAAGGTGTCCATCAAGCAAACTTCAGCCATGAAAGTGAAGCGATTTTTTGATTACAAACCTAGCTCCGGGGAGTTTAAGGGACGACCAGAACACCACAGCTACCCAATGCTACACACGCACGCATAGATGATTGACAACACCTTTTAGTCTTTGCTGTTTGCAGTGTTAAGGGTAATTACCGTTCATACGCATGTCAAGATTCAATATAACTCACGCCTTGTTCCTTACATGCTTTGGCTGTCTGGACACCTCGGGAAACTGATCTACCTCAGCGGTCAATTCGGATGTCGTGGCTGAGTTCACCGGGGTGTTTAACAAGAGCAAATTGAACGGTGGTGGAAAATAAGCCTTCCGATGCCTCACGCAGCATTTTCCTCGCATCATCTTGGGGTCTATGTCTACACCATTTATACTAAATCAGTTTTGCACTTTAGGAGGGAAGTCGTTTTGCAATATGCAGTTTTGCCTGAGGTGCCAAATGTGATCGAATATGCACTGTTTCATTCAAGGCATTTGCATTTGATTGATCAAAACTACTTGTCTATTCATAATGTTTGGCACCATTGAAATTCTGAACAGATACAGTATCAACAAAGAACCAAGCAATATAATATAATTAGGAATGTTTATATATGGAATGTGTAGACTTTTGCTCGAGCCCTGCCAGTTGGTAAGTCTGCTCTCGACCGAAACTCGAGCTGACCCTTTTCGCCATGGAGGTGCTTTTTGATCCCCGGTTGTTGCCTCCCCCCCGTGTTGGGGAGCGGTATTCGAGTGTGTTTCGTGCCGGGGATCCTTCAGCCGAGCTGCCTTTGTGGGATCTTCGTGGAACTGCCTGTTCTATCGCCGGAGGGCATGTGGGTGTTGTCTTCCCTTGTTCAGGTTATGATCTCAAGGTCCTGCAGGTTTCGCCTTTGCTGCTTTGGGCTGATGCAGACTCATGGTTTTCTACTTCCCCTTCTTCACGAGAGCCGTGCTTTCCGCGTCACATCGTGGACATTTGCTCGGGAATGGGTGCGATGAGCCTTGGACCTAGGTTCTTAGGCTGTGAGACCTTGGCCTATCTCGAGATCAATGAGTTAGCTCGTGCTCACTTGAAGAGGAACACATCGGCCAGCATCATTAGTGGCAGCGTGTGTCATGATTCGGTCCTCAAGCAACTTCACCAGAAGGTTGATGATTTTGATTTTGCTGTTTGCTCAGGTTTCCCCTGTCAACCATTTTCAGTTCAGGGACATCAAGGGCACCAGAAAGATGAAAGGGCTCTGGTTTTTTGGGGGACCTTGAGATCCCTTTTGCTCCTTCAACCAGTCTGTGCTTGGCTGGAGTGCACTCCGGGAGCAGGTTCAGACCAAGGAGTCCAGGATGGCCTTCAGCAGCTGTGTGTGCTGCTGAACTGGCAACGCCACGAGTTAGTCTTTGACCTGGCCGATCAGTGGCCTATGCATCGTCGACGCTGGTGGTGCGCTTTGTATCCTTCCAGCTGGACCGGAGCTCCTTTGCGGCCTTGGCCTAGAATGGTTCCACCTATGCAGATTGGGCATGTGCTTGATTCATGGGGCTGTTGGCCACTTCATCATGAAGAAGACTTGCAGTTGTCCGCCTCCGAGCTGCAAGCTTACAGCAATGCTGAGTTTGGATCGGATGCTCGGCTTCTCCATTCTCAGATGGCCTCGCCAACGGTTTTGCACTCTTATGGTTGTGCTCTTAGCAGCTGTCCCTGTGGATGCAGGGATCGACCACTGGCATTGACCTCATTGTTGAGCAAAGGGCTTCGTGGATCCTTTGTGATTTCGGAAGTCCACATGAACCCAAGGTTCTTGCATCCTGAGGAGTTGGCGATCCTGTTGACTCTTCCAATGGGGCAGGAGTGGGATACGTACCCTCGATCTTCGCTGTGCCTTTTGGGTCAATGTGCCGCTCCACTTCAGTCGTTGTGGGTCTTCGTCCAAATGCTCAATGCCTCAGCAAGTACGGTGCCGGGACTTCATCGCTTAGATCCGGATGCAGTGCTTGCTGGCTATAAGGCAGCCCTACAGAATCAGGTCGTGGCCAAATTTCCAGCGGCTGAACCTCCTCGTCCACAAGCTCTTCGTCTTCGGCTGGACACAGGGGCTGAATTCTGGTTGCTCAAGCGAGGCACCGTGACGGTTAGCCAGCTTCTTCAAGCTGAACACATTTCCTTGGGTTGGGGTGAGGCTGCTTGTTGCACATCGGCCAAGGGTCAGCTGGCCCGTGATGAGGTGATCAATGAAGAATTTCCCATTCAGCTGTGGCATCATCCTAAACGTCAACGGCGTGATCCTCCTGTTGGACTTCTCGTCATTGGGATTGAGCACCATGGCAGTTTCTTGATTTCGTGCTTGGAGGCCGGTTCATTCCTTTTTGAAGCCTTGTATGAACACCACCTCATCGATGTGGACTTCCTTGTGAATGAAGATGGCAAGGTCTTCGGTAAGGACTATCGTGTTTGGTGTACACTTCGGTTGAAGACCATCACTCCGGCATCCTTCCCACGGTTGGGCCCATTGCCTATCTGCTCGTCTTCTACACAGGCTTTTGGGGAGTTCACTTGCCTTGAGGAGGGTCTTGCTGGTGCTACGGTCTGGCAGGCCATGGTGTCGCTTTGTCAATCTTCTTTGCAGGGGGAGATTACGGAGGTTGTCCAGCTTCATCCCGGTTTCCTTGATCAGCTACGACTGAGTTCTATCACGCAACAGCAATGTGTGGCACTTCGCTATATGTGGCATCAGAGCGCTGGCTATGCGGTGGGTTGTTTTTCGGCTCAAGGGCACTGGGCTGTTCTCTGCTGCAGACAAGATGGAGATGAGCTTCATGGGGCCTACTATGATGGGTTGCGCTCTCGGCTACAGCATGATGCATGGCTCCTGTTTTCTCGTTTGGCGGATCTTTTTCGGTTGCAGCTGGGGAGCTTCACTTCGCACTGCCTTGTTCGCCAGGAGCACTCCACTACTTGTGGCACGGTTGCTCTTGCACATGTGGCGTTGCTTCTTGGTCTTCAGGGATCCTTTACTCCGAATGACATCTGGACGTGGCATCAGTGGTTGCTTCAGCACCAACAACAATCTGATTCACTATGTGCTTGTGGACCGGAGGATCCCACTTTGAATGAGTTAGCTGTGCTCCTTCATGGCAAAGGCGTGCCTGCTGCGGAATGCAAAGCCCGAGCTTCGGCTGCCATGACGGCTCTTGGGCGTGGTCCTGTGCTCAATGCCATGGCAGCAAAAAATCCTTGGCAGAAGTTGAAGGGCTTGGCGTCAAAGCCGGCCACACCATTCCGTTTTTTGACACCTGCTGAACTGTCTGAGTACATTGATCAGCAGTCAAAGTTGAAGCATGGCACCTCTCACAAGGAGAAGAAGCAGAAGTCTCAGGCACAAGCTTCCATGCCGAAGCCCATTGAGTTGGATCCGAAGCAACTTCGATTTGTGCCCGCTCACTTTCGTGACCAAGATGGGGATGAAGTCCCACAAATTGATCTCTCACAGGTTCTCTCCGGTGCCCGGGGTTTAGCAATCTGCACTCGCAGGGATGCTCAGCCCTTCATTGATGACTTTGCTGCCATTAGCACCGATGCTTTGGGTCTTCTCTTGACCAGTGAAGTTGATAGCTCAGAGAAAGGAGCAGCCAAGATCGGAAATCTTCGCTATCCCGTCACCTATTTGGGCACTGGCGAACAGATCCTCATCAATGGGGCTCTTTTGACTCTGGGTGACCTCGCCATCAATCGACACCTCGCTAAAGGTCCGGATAAAGATCCTGACCATGAGAAATCTGTGGTCATTAGAGTGCAGGCCTTTAAGGATGAACTCCCTCTGGCATGGACTACCTTTGTGCAAGCTCCGTTGAAGCACATCATTCAGATGACATTGCCCCTTCAGACATGTGAAGGGCAGGCATGTGGTGCTAATTGTGGCCGATTTCATCCAGCCGTTGATGCAGCGGACTCCGCTGTCATTCATGAGATTTGGGCTCGCAGATTTTGCAACCTGGATTCTAAGACTGTTTCAGCAGAGCTTGCCGAATGCTTTTGCGCCTTCATGAGGATTGCGGAACCGGCTTTGAAGCAGGTCGTTGCTTCCTGTGTGGAGGGCCTCTATTTTGAACCGAGAGCCTCTACCGGTACGGGATCTCATCCAGACTACTTAGTTGTCTGGTTGCCGCCATGTTCTCGTCAAGATGCAGTTCACAAGCTACGTACTGCATCAACGGCCATCAGCCTGGTTCGGTTCAAGACCAAATATGGACTTCGTGTGGGTTGTGGGGATGCCGAGGCTCTTCACCTCAAGTTGCGACCCAATACCGCCTTTTTCGCCTGCAAGCCTACCTTTACATATCGGGCTCATCCTTTGCCTCATGGTTTGGACCGCAAAGCCATGACCAAGTTGCTCAGTGATTGGGGCTGGAAGAAAGCGCGACCTTTGCAGCCTACTCGTGGCAGCTCGATCGGTGGAGCCTGGTTGATTGGTGCTGATGAGGAGCCACCGTCTCCAGTGGTGACAGCTTTCAAAGCCGATGTGCTTCTGAATTTGCTTCCGGCTAAGGAGACTGTTGAGCGACAGATTCCTTTCTTTGCCTCACGCCGGACTATTCAGCACGCCAAATCCTCCGGTACTCCGACACCTGGCAAGGAAGCAGTTAGCAGTGATCCCTGGCAGAATGGGTCCGATCCATGGAAGGGCTTTGTTCCTACGGTTGCTCCTACCACCTCTTCGGCGGGGCGTAAAGCACTCGACGATGTCGCCGACAAGTTGCGGGCAGACATCAAGGCTCAGGTCTCTAAGGAGGTCGCTAAC